CCATTCAGTGTCCCCTTGTTATGTTTGAATGACTGCCTCTTTGTCTATGTACAAGTTCTTCAAGAACATAATTAAGTGTTCTGAAATACTCATACTCATCAATGTCATATTACAAGCTAAAATGTCTAGTGTTACACACTGGCAAATGGCCTGCATTTTGTTCTGGAAGACAGATTTTTCGCTTGGCACAGGGTTCTCCTTCATTTCATAATTGCCTCTGTGTGCCAGAGAGCAATACTGCTGAGGTTCTTTCAGAATTCACATTTTGTAAATGAATGAGCCATTGTGCAAAAGTTGAGAACTTTGAGAATGAACGTGTCGCTCCCTCGCCAATGGGACAAAAAATGAGTCCTGTTACAGAATTAAAATACTACAGATAATTTAAACCCAAATTTCATGTGTTGACATGCCTATACAGGATTCATCAGATCCTCATTTTCAGTGTTTTAACAGGCAGTGAGACACAGTGGGAAGTTGGGATTCAGAGTAAAAACAGAAAACAGGATTTAATGCTCTTTCAGGTTCTTCATAGCTTCCTGGTCCTGGGCAAATTATTGCAATCTCTTTGTTTTGCAGTTTTTCATTTTTAAAATGGAGATAACACTATCTATTTGTCAGCATTTTTGTGAACAATGCATAAAAAAATCTCTGGATCATCACAGTGAGTACTCAATAAAGCTATTATTACCTCAGCAGAACTGCATTTTGTCTGAAGTATGCTATCCACCTCTGGCACCTATTTAAACTGTCTGGTTTGTACAGAGATTAAATACTTGATGCTGATCTCATTAGATTTATGCTTTGCTTAAATAGAGTTACAGAGTTACCTAAGAAATTTCTTAGAAGTTTAGTTGAGTTGAAAAGGCAAACTGATATCTTTATGTTGTAGTTTATGACTGTTGAATTGGTTCTGACCCATAGAGACCCTGTATAGGGTTTCTGAGGAGTGGCTGGTAGGTTTGAACCACCATCCTTGCAGTTCAAACCAACCTTGTGGTCCAGTGCTTATGTACAGTGCAACACAAAGATATCTTCATATGTATCTAGGTATTTTATAATGTTGTTGTTGTAATTGTTATGTGCTGTGGAATCGGTTCCGACTCATAGGGTTTCCGAGGCTGTAAATATTTACTGGAGCAGAAAACCTCATCTCTCTCCTGAAGAACAGCTGGCAGTTTTGAACTGCTGGCTGTAAGATTAGCAGCCTGATTTATAGGATGCTACAAATAATTTTCTTCTTTTGAAATTTGAAAAGCTTAAGTTTGTGTATAGTGTTTGTTGTTGTTAACTGCTGATGAGTCAATTTCAACTCATAGTGACCCTGAATAAGACTTCCATAGAGTGGCTTGTGGGTTTGAATTGCCAACCTTGAAGACAGCAGTCCAGTATTTATCCTACAGTGCCACAATATGACCCCTATATTATGGTGGTGGCTGTGTGCCATGGAGTTGATTCTGATTCATAGCAAACCTTCATAAGGTTTCTGAGGTTGTAAATCTTTGTTGGTGTTGTT